TCGGCTGCCTGGAGCCCACCATCCCCGAGGACACTGCCACCTTCATCAGATCTGTTGGGCTCATGTTCCAGAACTCAGTCTATGTCACTTTCCTTCCCAAGTGGACTCGTCCTTTTTTGCCCTTTTGGAAGCGATACGTGAATGGCTGGGATAACATTTTTTCCTTTGGTGAGCTGTCTCAATCTGGGGCCAGGGAAGGAAGCTGGCTTCTCCCATAACTGCCTTCACACTCCCTGCCTTTAAGGTGGTTTAAACTCACTCTCTGTTCTCCATGGCCCCTGAAGGGAAGAAGCTGATTGATCAGAAAGTTAAGGAGGTAAAAGCCCAGCTACAGGCAGCTGGGCCAGATGGCGTCCAGGTATCTGGCTACCTGCACTTCCTGCTGACCAATGAATTGCTCAGTCCTCAGGAGGCTATCGGCACCTTTCCTGAGCTGCTCCTGGCTGGCGTGGACACGGTACTTAGGAAGGCTGACAGGGAAGCCAGGGACTCCCTGATTTTATCCTGTACTGGTCCCACCCCACCTCCCGACACTCACTCTGGCCTTTTTGTCAGGGGAATTCCATCAGCGTCTGGGCCCCTGGGTCTTTTTCTTTGTGTCACTCTCTGTGTCTTTGTGTCTGTGTCTATGTCTGTCTGTCTGTCATCTGTCTATGACAGTTGGGAGATTCCATCCCACAGGATTCCAATTCTCTTGCTGCAGTTTAGATGGGGAATTGGAGACTTGTCCACAAGCACCCTCTGTACCCAGGGCGCTCATTTCTAGCATTTTTTGGTTGCATAATCTCTCCTTGTTATCATTCCATCTGTAGCTGAAATACAACCTTCCTCCATATTGGTCTTTATTCAACCTGTGGATTCATGCTTAGCACAGAGATCCCCAGGAACCCTCATCTCATTTTCTTGCCATCTTGGTGGCAAGGCAGCTTTCTTGTAGCCACTCACAGACCCTCCCCCCACTTATCTAGCTTCTCCCCTAGAAATTGCTCCCTTCCTTCATCTTTCTCTCCCATTCTATCTCCTAGACATCCAACACACTGACCTGGGCCCTGTATCACCTTTCCAAGAACCCAGAGATCCAGGAGGCCTTGCACAAGGAAGTGGTGGGCGTGGTGCCCTTTGGGACGGTGCCCAAGCACAAGGACTTTGTTCACATGCCCCTGCTCAAAGCTGTCATTAAGGAGACCCTACGGTAGGACATGATTCCATGTGCATAGGCTCTATATGGGGATTATAATCACACAGTAATGGGAAGTGGCTAGGGACAAGAGTGATATGGGAAGAGAGTCTTCGCGCCAGAAAGCCTTCACCCAATCTAGAAACAGAGCCTAGACTTTCTTTTCTCTACAGCCTCTACCCTGTGGTCCCCTCAAACTCCCGAATCATCACAGAAAAGGACATTGAACTCAATGGCTTCCTTTTCCCCAAGAATGTGAGTTGCCCTGGAGTGCCCTGTTGCCCAGGAGTGCCTGTTACCCTTGCTGATGGTCACACTGCCATTCTTCCTCCATAGACCCAGTTTGTGTTTTGCCACTATGTGGCATCCCGGGATCCCAGTGTCTTTTCTGAGCCTGAGAGCTTCCAGCCTGACCGATGGCTGAGGAATAAAGGGACTGAAAACTCCAGGATCCAACACCCATTCGGTTCCGTGCCCTTTGGCTACGGGGTTCGGTCCTGCCTGGGCCGAAGAATTGCAGAACTGGAAATGAAATTGCTGCTCTCAAGGGTGAGCAGGGATGTGGAGAGGGTTGTGTGGCTCAGGTAAGATGTAGGGATTGAGGGAGAGGAGGGGCAGGGAGGTCCAGGGTAGAAGTCCACAGAGGGAATAGGAATTGGAGATCAAGATTCCAGTGGCCCTGTCCTCTCTCCCTGCCAGCTGATACAACAGTATGAGGTGGCTCTGGCTCCTGAGATGACGGAAGTGAAGTCTGTGGCCCGCATTGTCCTGGTTCCCAACAAGAAGGTGAACCTGCACTTTCTGCGGAGACAATGCTGAGCTGGGCTCCTACCTCCATGGGGCTTGGCCAGAAGCCCTGGCATAGCAGTCTCTGGCCAGTCTCATGTCACATGTAAGGATGCCTGATTGACAGGGGAGCTCTATGCCTTTCCCATAGACCCCAAATGTCTGGCACGATCTCTGCTGAGCAGCACGTACTGGAGACAGTAAAGCACCTTGTATCACGCAGCAATCCTTGGGTACAATTTGAAATAAAATGTAAAGTTCCAATTTGGGGGGCTCTTTGTTGTTCTTTTTGATCAATCAGCATCTGACCCTCTTTTTTTGGGGGGGTGCACCTTAGAATCATGGTGATTGCCCTGCTGGACCTACTTCTTGGATCTGAGAGTAGCACATGCTTCCACAGACCACAATGGCAGACCTGTTACGGACACCCCCCCCCCCCCGGAGGGCACCGTGACAGGGCCACTTTAGCTGTAGACAGTAAAAGCCACCACCGGATGCCACGATGAATGCTTATAGCCCCAGCTGCCCTGGAGGCTGAAGCAGGAAAGTCAGTTGAGCCCAGGAGTTTAACTCCTGAGCAACAGAGTGGAGTGTCTGTGTAATGTGACTGGGGATTGCGGTTTGGAGGTCAGTGTTCATAGTCTGTACTTGAGGTACTAAAGGCAAGGCCACTGATGGGCAACAGTATGAAGATTCCCCCACGCACCCAAGAAAAATAAAATATGGGACTATCCAGCTGAGCATGGTGGCACATGACTTTAATCCCACCACTTGGGAGGCAGAGGCAGGCGGATCTCTATGAGTTCAACGTCATTTTTACCTACACGGTGAGTTCTGGGCCAGCCAGGGATATATAGTGAAACCCTTTCTCAAAAGAAGGATGGGAAGAGGGAGGAGGAGGGGGAGGAGGAAAGAAAAGCAAGGGAGCTGGGGAGATAACTCAGTAGCTCAGTGGGTAAAACACTGGGCACACAAGTTTGAAGACCAAGAACTTACGTAAAGCTTGACAAGGCAGGAATAGTGGAGTCTGGACTCTGGAATCCCCGTGCTACAGTCCCAGGAGATGGGAGGTAGAACAGGAGATCCCCAGAAGCATGACAAAGAAGCCCTGTCTCAAACAACCTCATGCCTGAGGGTTGTCCACTGATCTGCACCGTGGGACACTCACTCTGTACACACACAGTTGCACCCCACTCTGGCACTCAGACCTGCATGCACACACAATAAAATAAGTAAAGGAGAAAGAATCTTAAAAGATTGTAGAAATACGAATCCACTCCTTCTGTATTGGACTACTGGGTGTGAGAGTCCATGCCATCACAGGGCAGGGTAACAGCAGACGACGAGACCCAGAATTGACTGAGATTAATTTCTTGCTACTTGGTGAACTGAGGTCATTGTAGAAATGACATCCAGTATTACAGGATCAGTCATGTTTCCTGCAGATTCCCATTTGTAGACTGGGTTCCACATACTATATGAATAATTAATAAATGTTTTCCTTATCATTTTGTTTTAAATAAAAGATATCGGAAGAATAGCATTCAGTGCACTAAAGAAAGGCCACTTGCAGCTTATGCCAATTGCAGGCTTTCTTTCAAGTCTTTGAACTCAGGAGACACAAGGAGTTTGCACAAGTTCATTTCAATGGCTGCAGTGATTGAGTAAACCTGTGACATCCAGGGCTGTGGCTTGCTCTTTTGTTTCTTTTTTCTTGATAGCTCATCCTCAAGGATCTGAATCTATCGGGGCATAGGGGACACTGAGGGGAGCAGACATTGCTCAGTGGGGAGAGCTGAGGAGCCCACGGTACAACCATGCCAGGGGCACTGACAATGCCACATGCTTCTGTAGACCCCGATGGTAGACCCGTTATGGGCACCCAGAAAGGGCACTGTGACAGTACTACTGCAGCAGCTGTAGGTAGGAATAGCTACCCGCTGGGTACCATGACGAATGCCTACAGCCCCAGCAGGCAGTTTTAGAATCAAGGGCTACTCAACGTTGGCTGCCAGCAGCTTGGAAGTGCCAGGAGCATGGTGCACCTGCCAGGAAGCACCAGGAGCATGGTAGTGGCACAATGGTGGCTTCTGTGGGGAAAGATCAACCACGGCTCCTAGGAGAGGAGCTGGGACGTGTATCCAGAACCAAGCACTCTGGACTCCCAGCTAAATTCATAGGCTGCATGCTCACTGCCACATTGAGCTCAGCCCTGATCCAGGTAGAAGGAAAGGTGTAAGAAGGGACTGGGCGCACAGATTGTCCTAGGCTGATGGCAGTGCCTCTGGTTCAGAACTTTCAGGCTTGACTTGACTGTTCTTAATTTCATCATCCTGGTGTACTGGGCATGCTCAAAGGCTTCTGAGAGTATAGGTATAGCAAGGACAATTAGGGAAGGCTGGAGAGCCTGTGAGAAAAAGAGGAGATGGTGACCAAATCGGAAGAGGACGTGCCCTCCCAACAGGATCTCACCCTACTGCCAGCTGGGTGGAATTTCTGCCCCATCCTTTGACAGTGGCCCCCCAACCAAGCATGGTGCCAGGACAGTCTGCGATTTGACAAATCCACCGAGATGAGCAACAGTTGGAAACTTCCTCCCATGTTAGTCCATGCCGATGATAGAAATGCATTTGACAAGAGTTTGTTAGCTTGCTTTATTCTCAAGAAATTCTCATTGGGAACAGACTAGGGAGCAGGCAGCTATGCCTTCCCAGAGCTCAGAATGCCCCACCTCCATCTCACCCTTCCAGCAGGACCTCCAAGACCTCAGCTGGAAAAGGGAAAAAGTAGTGGTCTGTAAAGCCTTCGTTGACAGTTTCTGTGGGGACTGCTCTATTATGATTGGCACTTCTGCCATCCTCAAAGTACCCTAACTTGATATCTAGGAGTTCTGAAAGACTGAGGGACTAGCTCTAAAGCTCATGGCAGAGCCTACCTGTACCAGAGCAGAACCAGCAAACGGGTGGGAGAAGATGAAGGCCAAGTTCCCCTAGATCCTTTCATTGACTTCCGGGTGAGGAAGATGGCTTGGGTACTCTCAAGCACTGAGGGCATCGATGCCAGCGGGGCTGAGCACCAGCGCTTGAAGTATGTCAGAGAGGGAGACCACGCCCAGAAGATGCTGGGTCTCATCCACCAACACCAGCCTGTGCACCTGCGGGTCCACAGTATTCAGGGAGGGGCAGAGCCTTTGGCTACAGCAGCTTAATAAGGGGAAAGCTTAACACAGCTCAAGGAGCAAAGGACATCTCCTGGGAACAGCTGGCCATGGCTCTGACCACTCAGCTGGCTGTGGATCTTGGCATAAGGGCCCTATGAACAGGACCAGACACCTACCAATGCAGATGCCAGAAGTTGGTCATGAAAGGGAAGGCAGGCCAAGTGCCCAGGATACAGGGATGGCGAGAGCTATGCAAAGAAGAGCTAGGCCATCTGTGCTGAGGGCATGCCAGGAGGGGTGCAAGGTACCTGTTCCCGTGCAATCCTGTCAATGACTTCACCCAGGCTCTCGTGGGGCTGGCAGGAGAGAACTCCCTCCAGACACAGCGTCCTCTGCCTCAAAGCTTCACCCACACTCATGTCCAGATGATTGTAGGTTTGCTGGGCAGCCAGGTGCTGGGGCAGGGGGAGAGGGTAATAGATGATCTCATTAGCAAGGCTGCAGCCCAGGGAAATTGCACTCCAACACACTTGCGAAGGGTAGCCACAGATACTTCCCACTGATGCTCACACTACAGCCTCCCTGTAGCACCCCCAGTCCCCTCAGACACTTACGATGACATCAAAGCGGGAGTAGAGGCCCACGACCTGACCTGCAGCAGGGGATGGAGAAGAAAGACAGGGAAAAGCACAGCTCAGAACCAGGGTGCTCTTCAGGGGACATGGGGATGACTTTTGAAATTAGTCCCTTGATAGTCCCCCAGGCTGCTGGCTTAGTCATGGGGCATCATACTGTCTCTACCTACAGATAGACTTAGCATCACCGAGACTTCTGACTTTAGGCTCCTGTGAGCTGCAGGGAGAGCAAGGCATCGCCTGTGAAGTACACCAGCCTCATAGTGTAGCGGCATTGGTCATTAAGGTTCAATTTCTGGTTCGCAGGGAAAAGGTACAGGGGCAGAGCCACCTCCAGGAGGCAAGTGGACAAATCTGGACACGGAATTTTTTTTTTTACCTTTTAAACTACATCTGTGTGTGTGTGTGTGTGTGTGTGCACATGTGTGTGTGTGCGTGCGTGCACATGTGTGTGTGTGTTTGTGTGCACATTGGAGTGCCACACACATGTAGAGGTCAGAGGACAATCTTCAGGTGTCCATTCTCTCCTGCAATGTGGGTCCTTGGGGATTGAACTCAGGTCGCCAGGCTTGGCTCCAAGTGTCTTTACCTGTGAAACCATTTCTATAACCTTGGCATATAGGAAAACTAATTCAGACCTTTCAAGTGATTTGGGTCATGAAAATGAGAGGAAAGTATTAGATTTAAACAAACTCCACAGACAAATGAAGAAACAAGAATATTCAACTCATTCTGTTAATATAAACTTTGAATTACCTCTTTTTGTGTGCGTAGTGTCTGTGTTGTCACATGTAGGGATATGTGTGTGTGATCATGTGTGTGTGTTCTCATATGTGTGGGCATGTGTGTGTTATGTGTGCTCATGTGTGTGAGTGTTCTCATATGTGTGTATATGTGCGCTCATGTGTGTGTTCTCACATGTGTGGGCATGTGTGTATGTATGTATGTTCATGTGGGCATGTGTCTATGTGTGTTTTCACATTGTGGATATGTGTATGTGTTCTCATGTGTGTGTTCTCACATGTTGGCATGTGTATATGTGGGTATTCTCACATGTGTAGGTGGGTGTGTATTTGTGTATGACCGTGCATGTACAGAGGCCAGGGATCGTCCTCTATTGCCTTCCACATTGTTTATTCAGGCAAGATCTCTCACTGAACCTGATACTCAAAAACTCAGCTAGCTAGCTAGCCTGCTTTTTGTCCCAGGAGTCCCCTGCTGCCACCTCCTGTGACCGGGGTTTGCAGGCAGGCTTCCAACCACCCCCACTTTTATGAGTGCCAAGGAGCTTGAATTCTGGTTTTTATGCTTATTCATGAGGCACTTTATCCACTGAACCATTTCCCCGGCCCCAACTTTGAAATACCTGTAGCTACAGTCTAACTAAAGAGATACTCTTGACATACCTGTGACCATAGTCTAACTAAAGAGACACTCTTGAAATACCTGTGGCCATAGTCTAACTAAAGAGATGTTCTTGCTGTTCCTCTGACCTTTCTAGAACAGGACATTGGGGTCTGGCTGGGGGCACAAGATCTCATGGTCAGTTTTAGGGTGAACTAATACCAAACACCAAAAGGATCTTCTGTTTCTATAACCACAGTCATCTTATTGCAGGTAATCTTACCAATCCTCCCTCGAAGGCAGAAAGGATCCGAGTCCCCTCACACACGGGGCACAGTGGTGCATTCCCAAGTTCCAGCATTAGGAGACAGATGCAGAGGAACTGCGATGAGTTTGGAGCCAGTGTGGGCTACATAGAAGTTTCTGGGCTACAGGGTGAGACCCTTTCTCAAAACAACATCCCTGCCCAGAAAAATATTCCCTTTCACAGTTGGGGAAACTGAGGCTCGGAAAGTTCAAAGCAAGCAGAGACTTCTATTTCTACTCCATCTTGGGCCCTACAGCAGATGACCTGCAGATTCTGGCTCCATCCTGGTCAGGCCCTTCCTTGCCCACCCTAGCTAGAGCCTTTGCCCTGGTTTTAGTACCAGATTCATTGACCACAGGCAGTGCAGACACACGCCGGTCCACAAAGATGTCCAGTGCGGTCAAGACCGGAGCTGTTTCCAGAACTACAGCCAAATCTCGGAATGTGCCGATGCCCAGATCCTGGATAGTGCGGCAGAGGAAGGAGGGCCGAGGCAACAGGGCGCCCTGTTGGGATGAGACACGGTGGTGATTCATCAGATCAAGCAGCCCCCAGGGGCTCCAGCTCCTCCCTCCCTTTGCCTGGGCTAGGGCACTTGACCTTCAGTGTCTCCCGTGGCTCCCCGCTTGCTCCCACCATCCCAGGCTCACAAATATGTGCAGGAATTTGAGTAGTCGCTTGTGCGTGAGGATGTACAGCACAGCGCCCGAGACTGGGTCCAGGACGGGCAGGCGGTGGATTCGGTTCTTGATGAGGGTATAGACAGCTTCAAACAGACTTTAAAGAACAGAAGCAGTGAGACAAGGAGCAACATGGGAAAGACTCTCCATCTGAAGCTCCCAAACAGGGTACCAGGGTCCCCTCATCCCTCTGCTTCCCAGAAGAAGTATGAACGAATACAGAACTGAGTGGGCTAGCACACCGGCAGGATTTAGGAGGCTGAGGCAACCCATAAAGCCCTTGTTGCTGGGCCTGATGACCTGAGCTCAATCCCTGCATCCCAGACTGTGGAAGAAGAGAACCAACTCCTATAAAATGTCCCCTCACCTCCACATGTGAGGCATGATAACACACACACACACACACACACACACACACACACACATACACACATACACACACACACTCAAGCAAGCAGTAAATGTCACAACAAGAACCTTTGAGACAGACAGAGAAGGGGTAGGGCTCAGGTGAACAAACGAGATGTTTACCTGTCGTTGGGAGAGATGGAGACAAGAGGCTTGAAGCAGCCTTGTAGGTAGATCTCTGAAGAAAAACCCAAGTTAGGCTACAAGAGTTCCCAGTTACTGCACCCTGTCTCCTAACAGCTTCCCTTGCTGCAGGCATTGAGGTTTTCCCGGGTGACCTGTGCCCTGTAGGAAATCCCACCACTGTCCCAGGCCTTGGGCCCTAACTTTAACCCCACAGTCTTCTCCAACTTACCCCTCCAGGTCTCAATCTTATGTTCTTCAATCTCGTATATCTGGACCTAAAGGCATGTGTGGGACTTTAGGGTCATGCATGAGCCCCGGAGCATCAGGCCTCCTGAAGATGACACCCCAGAACTCACCAGGGGGGATCGGTAGTAGCGGTGCAACACCAGGATAAAGTCTGTGATGGTGAGCATGCCTGCAGGGTTGACAGGTGACAAGTTGGGCAAGGTCAGGCCTAGGTGCAAGGCTCTTTGAGGACACCACCCTGCTGGTGTTCTTCCACCAGGGGGGATCCCGCCCGCCATTCCCCAACCACCTCTCCTCACCTACAAAGCTCTGCTTCTTGCTGTCCCACAGAGGGGCTGCCCTCACGCCGTTGGCCACCATGGCAAAGAAAGCCTTCTTAATCTGGGGGGCAGGAACAAACAAAGACAGGGTAAGGACAAGCAGTCCCTCATCCTCCCCACCTGCTGTCTCTACCTGGGACCTCCCATGGGGTCTTCATTCTCCACATGAGTCCGCCTCTTTCTCATGACCAGACCACTGCCATCATGATCACCACACAGATAAGGCTGCTTGTGCCCAGAGGCACCGAGGAACCATCACTAGACACAGCAGGGTTTCCGCATGGAGTCGTGTGCATACAGACATGGCACCGGTTTTTGCTCATCTAAGCACTCGGTATTCACATAACGTAATCAGAGCTACAACAATTTCCTCACTAAATTGGATGTTTATTTTGACCCTGTTCTAAGCAAAACTACCTCTATGCGCTGAGTATACTTAGTTCTCATCCTGTTCCTTCCGCCCAGTCTCTTCCGTTTCCTTAACTCTTTCCCTTCTTCTCTCTTGTCCTTTTGTTCTCTGTTTCTGTTATGCTGATGTTTGGTTTCCAGGCTGGCCAGGAACCTGAGACCCTCCTGCCTCAGTCCCATCAGTGCTCGGCTTACAAATGCGGACCACTGCATCTAACTCTCTAGTACACATCCGGTGCTTCACGGAACCAGACTGGGCTCTGCGGATGACACATATACCCCACCTTGAGCATGTACGCATCATTTGCAGTAATGGCGATCACAATGGAGTCAGGTTAGCCAGTGGCAGAACAGCTACCAGAACACTAGTTGTTGTTTCCTGTCTCCAGAGTACCCTCTGCTTGGTCCCGAGTGACACTGTGGTGTCTTACACGCACTTCACAGTTAACAAAGTGTTCTTTCTTTGTCCCGGGTTGTCCTAAGACTCCTTTGAAACAGGGAGGAGCCAGCCTCTGGTCCCCAGTTTTAGAGAAAATGGAGGTAAAGCAACCAACCCCAGGTTTGGCAGACTCAAGATGACAGAGTATAGTGGCAGTTAGGGGAGTCCTCGCAGAACATGCTCTCTCCCTACCCTTTCTAAGACTCTAAGGAGCCCTGGAAAGGGACTTGAAGGGACTATGACTTGATCCATCCAGGAGGTTATGAATGGCAGCCACAGAGGCCCCAGGCTGGGCCTCAAGTTTAACTAGGGCCAAGTCAGGGTCTTACCTCCAGCGTGGTGTCAAAGATGACCAGTTTGGAGCTGGTGGCCATGGCATCATAGCAGGTGTGTTCCTGCATGAAGTGCATGTAGACTTGGGCCCCAGGCTTCTGTAGCTCGTCATCCCAGCTCAAGCTGAGAAGGGGGGCCTGTGGGGACAGGCAGGACGGTGACTTGCGCTCCCCCAGACCTTCGAGCTCACAGTCCCAGGCCTCTGGGTCACTCGTGTTGGAATCCACTGCTGAGGCTGCACCGTTGTCAGGCAAGAGGAGGTCCCACCCTGCTGGGGAGGTCTCCACTTCGGCCAAGGGAACAGCTTGAGCCAAGGGTGTGGCCTTGGGGAATGTGGCTTCCTGCCTGGTGGACTCAGCAGCTGGTCCCGACTGGGCACCTGTTGGGGAAGAAGGCAGGGCCGATAGCAACTGCATCTTCCAAAGCACGCTCCCTGTACTTTCAGTGATCGGCAGAACTGAGGCACCCGGAGGTTGTGGAGTCTCAGTGTCCTAGCAGACAGCTCTCTCCCATCTTTCAAGGCGGCTGCATTGGGGCCTTGCCTTGGCTGCAGTTATTGCCTCTTGTATAGGGAGACCAAGGGCACAAGATGAGATCTGTCTAGCTCCATGTGCTGGAGAGATCTTAGGTCAGGCCCCACTCTGGAATCCCTGATGTCCCTGTCACCGTAACTGACCTTGGCCTCACCTTCTCCCAAACCTGGTGGCTCTGCTTCCTCCACAGCCTCCTGCCTGGTCCATCTGGAAGCCTTGACACCCCGTGGTGCGCGGGTTCTTTCTGGGCTAGTGGCCACAGCTGGTGATAACCAAGAGTTTTCTCTTTGTTCTAAGAAACTCATCTCTGGGAGGATGAAAGGACCTGTTTGACTAGAAGGGTGAGCTACAACAAAACAAACACAATGTCATTAGTGAGGGGATTGGGAGCTTTCAAATACCCCTCCCCGGACATATTTTTCCTTTTCTATTCATAGAAATCTTCCGAGGCAGATACTGTAAATTGGAATTCCTATTTAGCAACAAGGGACCAGAAACTCAGAGAGGTTAAGCAATTTGCCAAAAATCACACAGCTGGGAAATGGTAAGGTTAGCACTGGGGTTCAGATCTTCATCAAAGAGGAAAGGGATGGTGGGGGGGGGGACACACGCTGGGGAAAGGAAGGAGGGAGAAGGCAGGAGAAGGGCAGGGTCCTTTCTTGACAAAAACCAAGCTAGGAGTTAGGGATTGGGGTTCAGAAATGTGGGAGACAAGGTAGCCATTGAGAAGAGGCTGGTCCCACAAGCAGCAATGCTCCACCCACCTTGACTCTCTGGACCTCCTCTGTGGCTCCAGGTCAGGGTCTATGGAATAAAGTGTCTGCGTTGTTGGGAAAAAGCTTCCTATTCTAAAGTCCCTGGCTTGTCCCCTTTAAGAAGCACTCCCTCCCTCACACGACGTGTATACAGATATGTACAACATACACGCTAGCACTCTCCTGACAGCCATAGAATCCCACACAGGCACGTACACGCAAAATACATACATGCACGGATCCGGCCCGCTCACACCCACAGAGTACAGTGCACGGGTCAAACACACGCGCGCGGGTCAAACACACGCAGACACGGCCACATGCTTGTCTTTCTACATTCCAGCGCCGGCCCCCTGGGACCCCGGTACCCCAGGCAGTGTGTGTTTCAGCTCAGGCTCCATGCGGCCAGCTCTAGTCCGCTAGCGAGTGCGCGACAGGCGGCGGCGGGGTGGCACTATTCTGGGCTGGCACCTGGCAGCGTGCCCTCAGGGATCGGGTTCTCTCTGATTGTCAGGTCTTGGGAGGGAGCGCTCAACCGCAGTTGTTTTCCTCACCGCGGCTTGGGGGCGCTGCGGAGGTGGAACTCTTATCTGAGAGTTCAATGGAGGAAGGTTGACCGTCTTCACTTTCTCCTCCGTGCAAACTTCCTTAGCCGAGGGTGGGATGAGTTAGGAAGGATACCCTCGAGGCTGGAAGTAGGTGAGGGGGCTGTGGGTGGTCCTGATAGAGCAGCCAGGGGATATCTAGATATCCCCCCCTTGGAGTCCCGCCGGCCAGTTCAGGGTGAAAGATGAAAGTGATGGAGAGGGCGGGTCAGGCAGGTCGGCACTCTTCTGGTCATCTCAAAGGTGCGAAATGGGATTGGGAGCAAGGGCTCATATCTGTGTGTAGAGGGAACAAAACCTGAGTCGACCAGTGGTTGGGAGATAAGAGAGTATGCGGGAGCCCAGCCCCTAACCCACCATGAGTACTGGCTGGCATTTCCCTGCGCCAGAGGGGAACCCAGCCTGTCTCCGGTGGCGGTGGCAGCTCACCCCCTTCCTGAGCATTCCTAGGGCCTGAGTCAGAGTTCCAAATGGGGACCGCTGACCCAGCTGCTCTAGCTTCCCTTTCCCTGTCCCTCCCCTCCTCTTGTCATTCCAGTCTCTTCCATCCGGACCCCACGGTCCTAGAATGGACACTCAGGAATAGACTATTGGATTTCCTGCTGGATTTATTGAACGTGTTTCCTTTCCTCCTTCAAAGCACCTGCAGCTGCCTCTGAGGGGAGGGGGGGCAGAACTGTGCAGAGAGGAGTCTTTGATGGTGCAGGAGGGTTTCTGGAGCCTGGGTCTGTTGCTAGATAGTGGAACTTCTGAGGCACAGCAAATGGGGCCAGCTCAAAGCACAGGGGGCCGTCAGCACGTGCCTAGGCATTGCAGACGACAGACACTCCCTGCCACATGTTGTGGAAATGTGACAATGGTCCACAGCTTGCCAGGCTGTGATATTTCCCTTGCTAGCTGCTAGTCAGTCTCTAAACTGGCATTTGCAAGTTTTTAAGGAGCACCACTTCCAAACACAAAATTCAGATAGATAGTTGGTTGTCATAACAAAGACCCGATTTAAGAATGCCTCAGAAGAGCAGAGAAGGCAGAGGCAGGTGGATCTCTGTGAGATCCTAGTGAGACCCTGTCTCCAAAACAAACAAGCAAGCAAGCAAGCAAACAAACAAACAATGAATGCCTCAGGAGATTGAGAGGTGGTTCAATGAGTAAGAACTTTGCCTTGCAAGCGTGAGGACCTTAGTTCAAATCCCCTGAGCCCACATAGAAAGTTAGATGTGGTCACTTTCTGTGAAGATGTGGAAATAGAAGGATCACTGGGGCTTTCTAGTCTCCAGACTAGTTTCAGGTTTAGTGAGAGACCCTGTCCTGGGAAGGATTAAGGCAGTGACTGATAAAACAGAACACCTAACATCTTCCTCTGGCTTCTGAAAATGCATGCGTACACTACACTACACATCTCTCTCTCTCTCTCTCTCTCTCTCTCTCTCTCACACACACACACACACACACACACACACACACACAAGAGTGAGAGAGAAAGAGAGAGAGTACTTCAAACAATAATAGTCTCTAGGCAGTCTAGATCTGATAGGGTGGTTTTGAACTCATTTAGAGCATCTTCCATCTTGAATACAAGATGGCCGTCCCAGCTTCTACCTTACCCTTGCTCTAGCATTCCAGCCAGAAGAAGGGAAAAGGGGAAAAGAAAAGAATTCACGCATCTTCTAAGCCCTAAAGTGGAAGTTACTCCCTCACTTTCACTTATGGCTAAATGATCAAATTTAGCCACGAGGTCATGTTTGGCTTCAATGGGCAGGGAGCTTAGGATCTCAGTCATTATTATGGACAGCCATTCCAGTTAAAATTCAATTCTACCTCAAAAAGTCAAGAAAACTAGACAGTAGGCCCATCTGGCGGTCTCTGTTACGGGATGTTTTCGTTCCATCATCCAGGCACAGAAACGAACTCTGAGGAAACAGGCAATGCTCTCCAAGGCCATTTGGCAAGCAGACAGCCAGCATAGACCTTAATTGGGTCTGGCTGATCCCCAGAGGGACTTTTCATCACATCCAGCCAACATATTTTGGCCACCCAGGGGTCAGCAATCAAATGAGCTGAAAGATATTTGTACAAGGAATGGCAGCTCCGCACCAAGGAGGAGGCAAAGGACAACCTGCCACGGTGCACGATGCTCCAGATCCCTGCGCATCACGCAGTTAGGGAAGACTTTCCAGAGGAGGGGGTCCTGTGTGGAACACGGAGACTGGAGCCTCATAGGAGAAAGCGGTGGTGTGATTTGAACCTGCTCTGAATCTGTGCAGGGGACATGAGGTTGTGCTGGGGGAGCTGGAGGTGGCTTTCCCAGCTCCACTGTATCACGTGCCATTGGGGATGATCCACAGAGTGGATGTCTCAGGCAACCAGTGTGAACACAAACAGTGTCAACTACTGCTGTTACTATCAAAGCCCTACGAGAGAAACACTCAGGTTATCAGTAGAGGCCACTGGAAGAGGCAACAACGGTGGGGCGGGGTCTCCAGTCCTTGCCCAAATGGTTCCAAGGCAGTGGGGTTGGTCAGAGGGCACACACAGAGTAGGAGATTTCTGAACTAGAAATGAAGTTCAGTGACAGACAGCATTGATCTCAAATGTGAGAACCCGAATTCCAGGCTTACAGCATACAAAGAAAGGAAAAGGAAAGAAAATGAAGAGGAATGAGAAGAGATATGGGAATGAATAGAAGAGAAGATAACTGGGAATGTACCTCAGAGTGCTTGCCCAGCCTGCCTGAAGCCATGGTTTGATCCCCAGCTCCTCATAAAATCAGCATCATGGTGCATACTGGTAATCTCAGGACTCGGGAAGTGGAGGCAGGGGGTCAGAAATGTAAGGGCATCCTTAGCTACATAGGGAGTTCAAGACAGCCTGGAATATATGAGACCCTGTCAAACACACACACACACACACACACACACACACACACACACACACAAACAAAAAAACCAGCCGGGTAGTGGTGGTGCACGCCTTCAATCCCTGCAGAGGCAGAGGCAGGAGGATCTCTGAGTTCAAGGTCAGCCAGGTCTACAAAGCGAGTTCCAGAACAGTGAGCTGCACAGAGAAATCCTGTCTTGAAATGAAAAAAAAAAACCCACAAATAAATGTGCCAAGGAAAGGTGAATTCCTTTTAGAGCCGAACAAGTTTTCTCAGAGAGCCATACCAGTTTGAGAGAGAGCAGGCAAGAACTCCAAGTCTAGAGAATCCTGGCATGTGAACAATGCTTACACGGTACCAGTGGCTGTGGTTTCTCAAATTTGGAGCCACATAAGTTTTGAGGGTGTCAGTTTGGCAAAGAATCCACAGACATGACCATCAAGGCCTCTCTTGACCCTTCTCTCCAGTTATCACCTACCCTGCATGTCTCCAATAGCTGGAAGACAAGGTATGCCACCCACACACAGCTGCAGTGGATACTGGGTAAGGGCTAGCTTCTCATGGGCAAAGCTGCCCCGTATGGGAAGCTGAGGTCCAGAGAAGAGACAGCAGTCAGCAGTCAGGCGTGTTGCCGGGACTTAGGTGGCCTCTGTATATTGGTCATCCTTTCCTATTCTGGGATGCATTAATTATCCTGTTTCTCTTCCACTGTCATTAATGGACATTATGAAGGACAGGTTAAGCTATGGGATATAAGAACAGGGTCACCTGGTAATGGGATACTCATGCCTCAGAGAACTGGTGTCCAGTTGGAACGGACTCACTGCTCTCAGACGATATGAATGTTTTCTTCCGGTGGGGTAGGCAAACCCATGGATTTTTCTCTCTTTTTTTCTCTGTCAGTAAGACCCCACAATTACATTTCCCAGCTTCCTTTGCAGATTTTGTGCCCATGTGACTAAATCTGGCCAATGAGATTTCAGCAACATTATCACGTGCAAGTTTATAAGAGTGCCCTTGGAAAGCAGAAACACCCCATAGGCTCCTAATGGGGTTTATTATATGATAGTTAGCACCGGCTTAACCATTAGATCACCACGGTGGAAGACGTAGGTTGAAAACGGCAGAACCTCCTCTACCCTCATCTAGAGCTACTTACCTGTCTCCATCTAATTTGTGTTGCCCTTACGGAACATTCCAGACTGGGTAATTTACAATGAAATTTATTTATCATGGATCTGGAGGTAGAAGGAATCCAAGATCAAGAACTTTCAGCCATCAGGGACTTCATGATAGAAGGCAGAAAGGCAAGGGAACAATGCTTTAGTGTAAGAGAAAGCTGAACTCGCTCAAATGGAAAACCTACTCTCAAGATAACAAGCCTACACTCATGAATGCAGCATTGATCCATTCCCAAGGGAAGACTCTGCCCTCATTACCCCTCAAAGACCCCATCTCAGTATAGTCATATAGGTGAGACCTTTCCAACATATGAACTCTGGGGACGCAGTCAGATCCTAGCATCCCCAGCCCCATCGGTATCAGGCTTTCTTAGTTCTGGACAGATATGTTGGAAACAAATTGCCTTGTTGGAACCACCGAGAAGTCGAACCTTTGTTCAAACTGCCAAGCCTTTCTCTGGCTAGCATGTGTACACCGTTGAAGTGGGCTAGGCTTAGCAGTTCCCGTGTGCTGATAGAATACTATGCAATGCTCAGTATCTCCCAGACACTGCAAAATGCCTCACAGGCAGCTGAACATGTGGTCCCTTGCGGCCCCGTGAGGTGAACCATTTTATTACTTCTGTTTTGTAAATAAGGAAACAGAGGCAAAAACAGGTTAAGTAACTTGATAAAAATATCAAGTGATGGAGACAAGACTAACATTTCCCATTTCTGGATTCCGGCAGCCATCACTG